ATTTGCTCTCAGATCATTTTTGAGTTTGACCCCGAGAAATGCACCCGGGGACATTTGCTTTAGAAAGAGTATGAGATGCAATGGGAAAGATTGATGAGACTATAAGTTGCAAGAATCAGACAAAGGAGACTGAGCTAGGGCTCAGGTCTCAAAGATGGAAGTGATATACGAGGCGGCCACGGAGGCAGAACCTTCAGTTTCCTACCTAGGTAACTACAGGAACATGAATGAAGATAGAGAGTGAAGGAGGATAAGAAGTTGGCTTGAGGAAAGGGGCGAATTCCAGCTTAGACACATTGAGTTTTGTTGGCTCAGAGTAAGCAATGAATTTCTGCTTCCGGGAGGATGGAGTAGGCATGGTTTCTCTATTCTTCCCACTAAGTAAAACCCAGAACTTGGGACATTATATAAAAACAAACATAAGAAGACTCAAAGTGTAGAAAAGAAGGCAGACGGCTAAGGGACCTCAGGACCCGAGGAATGACACGATGATAAGTGTGAGTTCCCTAAATTTTCTTTTTGCCTCACGTATCCCAGATGGAGAGCTGGAGAAAGAGAAAACCCAGAAACAATGGGTGCCGACTAAAAAATATCCAAAAAGCCTGCTCTTTCTAGGCAAAGGACCAGGAAAGGGACAGGCGAGCAAACAGAAAGCTTTTAGACAATAACCTCCCTGTTCTAGCTAAATACCGACAGAAAAAAATGTGGCTCACTTTCACCCACACCTCAAGAGGATAGGATGAACAGGTGCCCCAACACTTCCCTGAGATGGTGTCAGAGAAGGCCAATGAGGAACACCCCCCCACACACACACACACAGGTGTCAGTAAGGTGAAGTGGGAACTTCCACCTTCACCTGACAGTAACGAGGCGCTGTCCTTGTGCCCACTCCCAGTTCCCCTGATGGAATGGTATCAGAGAAAGCCAGGTAAAACCAGTTTATATAAGATCCAGAGACTCAGAACAATATAAAAATGTCCTGGTTTCAGTCAAAAGTCATTTGTCATATCAAGAACCAGGAAGATCTCAAATCAAATGGGGAAAAAAAAGACAATCTATAGATGCCAATACAAAAATCACAGAGAAGTTAGAATTATTCAATGAAGATTTTAAAGCAGCCATGTTAAAGATGCTTCAATAAACAACCATCGACACACTTGACACAAATGGAAAAAGTTAGAGAGCCTCAGAGAAGAAATAAATGACATAAAGGAGAACCAAATGGAAATGCTAGAACTGGAAGACATAACAACTGAAATGGAAAGCTCAGTGGATGGGTCTGACAGCAGAATGGAGGAGGTAGAGGAAAGAATCAATGATCTGGGAGATAGAACAATAGAAACAACCTAATCGAACAGAGACAATAGACACACACACACACACACACACACACACACACACACACACACACACAGGAACAGAGGCAACCTGAGGGACTGTAATAAAAGGTAGGAGTCCTAGAAATAGAGGAGAAAGAGGGTGGAACTCTAAATGGTCTCAGAAATAATATCTGAAAACTTCCTAGCTTTGAGAAGAATCATCACACTAGGGATTCAAGAAGCTGAGTGAACTCCAAACAAGATAAACCTAAGAAATCCACGCCAAGACATATAATTTAACTTTTTTTAAAAACATGGTATGTAATCTTTTATCGTTTTAATTAAATATATCGGGGTGAAATTGGTTGCTAAAATTAGATAGATATCAAGTGTACAGTTACATAATATACCTACCATCTGTATATTGCATTCTGTTCACCACATAGTTAAACTTCTGAAAACTAAAAACAGTAAGCAAAGCGTCCAAACTTTACTAGGCTGTCTCGGACCTTTAGAGGCTACTGCAGTGAGTAGCCAGGGCCAGGGAGCAGGGACTGTTCAGCCTGGATCAAGGCGTCAGTGACAGTGCAGAAAACCATATGTTTGGGACCAGAGAACCTTGCAAGAATTTAGAGCGACCACCTCCTAGCTTGGATCCCCCCACAGAAAAAAACCTCCTATGGTTTTCAGTGGAATGGGAACAGGACTCTTTGGTCTGTTAACATACCAACTCTTCAGGGCCTGCCACCTGCTGCTCCCTTAGCCTGCAATGCATGTTCTTTGCCTCTTCACATTGCTGGCTACTTCAGATTTCTACTGAAATGTCACTTCCTCGGAAAGGCCTTCTTCTCTGGCCCTGTCTAAGATAGATTTTTCTACCAATCCCCAGCCTACAAAATTTTGTCATATACCCTATTTATTTCCTTCTTGTTATTGATGACAATAGGCCATTATTTATTCACTTGCTGACTTGTGTATTGCATATCTCCTCTACTAAACTGTAAGACCAGAAACCTTTCAGTGTCCTGAGCACTGGACCCATTGTCTGGTACAGTTGACAGACAAGAGTCATGTTGAATAAACAAATAAAGAGCTGAAAAAGGAAGGGACCCAGCTTTAAAAAAACAAACAAACAAAAAAAACTCCTGTTTCTGGAGCCGAGCTAGCACTTTATTTACAATCATCTCATTTAGTCGTCACGAGCAGTATTGTATGGCGCGTATTATTGCTCCAATCGACAGACGAGGAAACTGAGGCTCGAAGAGGTGCAGTCTCATGCTCAAACACACATCAGCCAACATACGGAGCCAAGTTTCACACAGATTTTTTTTTCTGCCCATGGATGTTTCACTACTCCACCCAGCCATTCTGTTGAGGCAAGTTATTTGGGTTCAAGTCCCAACCCTACACCTTTCTTACTAGTATCTTATAAAATTCACTCAGGTTGCTCATCTAAAATTCTGAGCATAAGGCGTCAAACCAGGAGCAGTGGACAGATAAAGAGCATTTCATTCCACCCTTCTCTAAGCAGTTGGGCTAGAGTTTAATTTAAGCCCCTGGGTACCATGGCGATGCAAGCCTTATAAAGCTCTATAAATACCCCTAGAGAGGCTTCTTCTAGCCAGCCTGCTGGTTACAGCACCCCACCCCCGTTCCCACGGGGGCTCCTCTTCTGCCTTTGGGGTGGGAGGGGAGGAAAGCACTGCTTTGTAGGAACTCCCTCCCTCTGAGCACACTTTCTTTCTTCTCTCCACACCCCCACCCTTGAAACTGAGATTTCATCTCCACCTCCTCCTCCAGTGCATAATTCATTTCCTCGTTGGTGAAAGACACAACAGCTTCCAGCCTTCAGTACCCAGAGACCTTTTGATGGGAGAGTTGAAAACCTCTCCTGCCAGCCTCAGGATTGCCTCGGATCCTGGAGAAATCCAGTTCATTTAATGAATTGAACCAGCAAGGAAAAAGGGGAAGGAGAGGAGGGGAGGCAGCCAGGACCGAGAGAACAGTGCGCCTCCTTCTAGGGAGACAGCTCAGCCTATCAAATCCCCCGACAGCTACCCCCCAGCAGGGTCTTGTTGACAAGCACGGTGGAGGTCAAAATTCAGGTTGATCCATCTTCGGCTTAGCATTCAGAACCCCTACTTCCTCTCCTTGTAAACACAGCTCTGACCTCAGCATGTCCCCTCCCACCTCTCACCACTCCAAGTAGATATGCAACTCAAATGCAAGCCGAAGTTCGTTCGACCGTCTCCAGGCTGCTCTTCGAACCAGACTGTTAGTGCCCCGAAGCTCTCTTCCTCCTTCGCTGGCACAGGAGAGTCCACACCGTTGTGAATCCAGAAGTAAAAACCCATCGAGTTAGAATTTTGACTCTACTATTTATGTGACCATACAAAAGTCAAGTAGCCTCTCTGAGTCTAGGTTACGCATCTATAAAATGGGACTAATAAGTACCAGGGCAATGAGTCATTATTCATAGAAGCTCCCTCTCCCTATTTGTAAAATCAGTTGGCAATGCTTGACTTATTTCGATTTATTTTCAAGCACTGAAGACCCAGAGATAAATAGAAACCATCTCTTCTGCCTCAGCTCTCAGACTGCCAAGGTTTCTTCCACACTCATTTTTTTCTCTGGCTCCCTTCATTGGCCCAATTATGAACTTCAGCTAATGCATGACTAAAGAAAGGGGACATTATCGGCTCGAGCATAGAAATGTAACTGTGTGCATTCTCCGGGGTGTGTGGGAGGAACAGCAGGAGGTAGAGAGGTACAGTCATGGAGTCGGAAGAAACTTCTCAGCAGAGGTTTCCACAGCCTTCACTTAAAGAATGCAGAAGCCAACAGGAAACTACTGCTAACATATCCGTTTCTTTTTTTAAAAAGCTTAATTTCTCCTCTTTACCATCTTTTTGAAATATATTACCCTGATGCTCTGAAATTCTCTGAAACACGTGTATGGAAACTGGTCTTTCTCCTTTGCTGCAGTAGTGGGGGAAAGAATTTAAGTGGGTGTCTCCTGTGGGCTACCTAGATGTGAAAGCAAATGAAGAAAGGCTTGGCCTGTGGTCACTTCTGCTCGGCCCCCATGGTGGCCATGCCTGTCTCCTCCAACTCCACTCATGGGCAGCCGCACACAGCCCCAGAAGAAAGGCCGAGAGAGGCTGAGCTTCTTGCCTTCAGTTCAGATTCCTGCAGTTCAGTCACCTGTAGAGTAACGTCCCATACGCTTTATCACGCGGCTCAGCCGGTTTTACCTTTAATCCCTTTCACATTTGTCCTCCGCCTTGAGGAATGCCTGGGGATGATTCACTGCCATCACATGGGGCAAGCAGTCATTTATTACCTCACCCTGCTTGCAGCTTCTGGAAGATAACCTGGGATTCTTTCGAACGGACAAACAGACTAAGACTGTAAGGAGTTAGTTCCTGCTCTGGTTATACTTTCCTGCTCCGCAGCTCAGGCCTCAAGGTCTGAAGGAACAAGCCATTTGGAAAATGCCAGGGCTTGGGCACCTAGGCTAAAAAGAAAGTTGGATTTGGCAGTTTAGAAGGTGATTTCCCTTCACAAAACAACACTAGCCAGTGAGAGGGCTTGGTCACAAAACAAGACAAAAACAAAATCAGTAATTAGGATTATTGCAAGCAACCACACACAATTTTCAGGAAGGGGAAGGACATGGGCTTGTGTTTGGAACAGAAAATACTTTATTGGTTCACATTTCATAGGGGTATGCTTGCTGCCAGGCATTGATGCTCCATATGTAACACATGAGGGCTCTGGGAGCATGGCTTACTGCTGACTGCCAGGCCCTCCAAATTTCTCCTCTCCCATTTAGCTCTTATAGCCAGGCTACTGAGTCTGTATTATCATGATGTTTTCCAGACCTAAGACTGAGATTTCAGTTAAGCAAGTTACTCAAGTTCAAAAGGCCAGAATATAGGGTGGATTTGGGGCCCAAACAGACCGATTCCAGAGCAAAATGACATTATTTGAGGACCTACTATAATTAAAAAAACAAAAAGGAGAGAACGAGAAAGAATTGGCGACCGTGTGAGAGGGGTACTGTAGCTGGACAGCTACAAGCTCTGTGTCCCTGGCCAACAGTGTGGCGCCCGAGGGCCTCATTTCTCACCGGGAAAGTGGGCACAATAAGTAGTATTGCCTACTGCGGAGGGCTGTCGTGAGGGTTCAATGAGATCATGTGTGTGAAGCATCTAGCAGCACGGTGGCTTTCCTTTTGAGCTACTGCCTTAGTCAGTAGTGGGAGGTCGTCACCCGGTGAAGGCTTGGCCAAGCGGAAGAAGTGTCGAGGGCTATGGGAATGCCCCATGAAAGGATGGGGAACTCCTACTTTGGGGTGTTGGTGGCCAGTCTGAGGCCCATGTTTCTGGACTTCCGTGGATGGCATCTACAGAATGAAGGAGAGAAGGAAGGGCTAAATGTTGAGCCCATAGGCCTGGCCGCGGGGAACTGACTTTGCAGAAGGCGTTTTGAGGTGAGGAGCTGCGATGGTGGGTCTTCTCTAGTGAGAGATGAGACCACGAACCTGGGATTCTCATCCTTGTTCAGCATACCTGGGCCCATACAGCACAGGATGCTGGCTCCTCAGGGAGACTGAGATTCAGCCAAGAAGATACACTGCCCTGGGCTTCATTTCTTCAGTCCAGCTTCTTAATATACATCCAGGGCAAAAAAAAAAAGTAAACATACACTCAGGAAACACACAGAAGCCAGTTGATTCTCAACTCAATCGTGCTACCTTCTTTTTCGTATTTAATCACATATTTTTCATTTCTCAAGAAAGCTTGTGTCTGATTTTTTTAATTTCTCCTATTTTTTTTTCAAGGTGAATTTTTGCTTTGCTTTTATTCTTTTTCATAACCCCCTTACCCCAAATCCATAACTTACCACTTCAGGGTATGGCAGGACAGAACGCATGTGCATCTGCTAGCCCACAGCCTGGGACCAGGTTAAGTGCTTAATTTATCCAACAACAACATTGCTATTACTTTTACAAAGTGCTTACCCTGACACCTTTCGGAGGCGCTCCTGGGGTAGGGGATTCAGAGCACTCCTAATTTTACCAACCCAGAGGAGAGCCAGCTACACTTGCAAATACGGGGGGTGGGGGATGGGTGAAACAACATGGGGCGAAGAATGGAATAAGAGTGAGACAGATGGTGCGTGTGTTGGGGGAAGGGATCTGAGATCCCGATAAACTTACGGTCCCCGATTTACAAGAATGTTTCTATTTAACCACTTCTTGCCTGACTGATTCTACATAACAGAGAAACGTGCATTTGTATGCTTTCGGGCCACCTGTGCGAAGAGCCTGGACCCTCGGGGTGGAGAGAGCCAGGAGCGTTGGGAAGCAGAGGCACAGCAGGTCTTCCTTCAGCCTCCTGGGGCTCCAGTCTGGGTCCCGGACCCAGGTGAGGGACGGTCTCCCTTTGCTTTGAGAGGGGCAGCATAGGGGCGGCCGGCCCACGGTCGGACTGTCCCACGAGGGGGCGCGTCTCGGGCCGTAGGACCCGCCCCCGCGGCGCTGGGCGTGGGGAGGAGACCTGGGAACCCAGGGGCCCGGCGCTCCGCCTCCCGTTTCCGGGGCAGCGGGATTACCTGCACCGCCCTAGCCGCACCTGGCGGAGGCAGAAGTCGCAAATCGAGAGAGCGCAG